AAATTCTGTGTTTTTCTGTCAATATGGGGTGCTGTGTGTACATTAATGAGGAAAAAAATGAACTTAAATGATTTTAGCATATGGCTGCAATATAACAAAGAGTGAAAAATTTAAGGGGGTCTGAATACTTTCCGTACCCACTGTACTTCATCTTTAACAAATTAACCTACTTCCACTGGGTGCAACATTATACCCTTAGATTGAAGGCCTCACTGAGAAGATAGCCAGAGAACCTACAGTTGGCCATACTGGAAGAAAATGCGTTCTACAAACCCCAATTCCAATAAAGTTGGGACACTGTGTAAAATGTAAATAAAAACAGAATACATGACTTGACCCATATTTAACTAAATTCAAACTCAGAAACCTAATTGTTTTTTGCAAATATTCACTCATTTTGAATTTGATGCCTGCAACACGTTCCAATTGAGCTGGGACAGGGGCAACAAAAGACTGGGAAAGTTGAGGATTGCTCAAGAAACACCTTTTTGGAACATTCCACAGATGAACAAGTTTATTGGAAACAGGTGAGTGTCATGATTGGGTATCAAAGGAGCATCCCAAAAGACTCAGACATTCACAAGCAACTTCACCACTTTGTGAACAGGTGCATGAGTAAATAGTCCAATGGTTTAAGAACAACATTTCTCAACATACAATAGCAAGGAATTTAGGTATTTCATCATCTACAGTTCATAATATCATCACAAGATTCAGAGAATCCAGAGAAATCTCTGCACGTAAGCGGCAAGGCCGTAAACCTACACTGAATGTCCATGAGCTTTGATCCCTCAGGTGGCACTGCATTAAAAACAGACATTATTTTGTAGGGATATTATCACATGGGCTCAGGAACACTTCGGAAAACCATTGTCAGTTAACACAGTTCATCACTACATCTACAAGTACAAGTTAAAACTCTACCATGCAAAGCAAAAGCCATACATCAATAATACCCAGAAACGCCACAGGCTTCGCTGGGCCCGAGCTCATCTGAGATGGACTGATGCAGAGTGGCAAAGTATGCTGTGGTCTGACGAGTCCACATTTCAAATTGTTTTTGGAAATCATGTCCTCCGGGCTAAAGAGGAAAAATACCATCCAGATTGTTATCAGTGCAAAGTTCAAAAGCCAGCATCTGTGATGGTATGGGGGTGTGTTAGTGCCCGTGGTGTGGGTAACTTGCACATCTGTGAAGGCACCATTAATGCTGAAAAGTACATACAGGTTTGGGAGCAAAATATGCAGCCATCCAAGCGATGTCTTTTTCAGGGACATCCCTGCTTATTTCAACAAGACAATGCCAAGCCACATTCTGCACGTTACAACAGCATGGCCTCATAGTAAGAGAGTGCAGGTACTAGACTGGCCTGCCAGCAGTCCAGACCTGTCTCCCACTGAAAATGTGTGGTGCATTATGAAGCGCTTAAAAGGAAAAGGTGATGTAACACAGTGGTATAAATACCCCTTTTCCAGCTCTTTCAGAACATGTTGCAGGCATCAAATTTAAAATGAGTGACTATTTGCAAAAAACAATAAAATGTATCAGTTTGAACATTAAATATCTTGTCTTTGTGGTGTATTCCATTAAATATGGGTTTGAAAGGATTTGCAAGTCAATGTATTCTGTTTTTATTTACGTTTTACACAATGTCCCAACTATATTGGAACTGTGGTTTGTACATTGTCAGTGTCTGTCTCACAAAAACTGCATACACTGTATATCACTATAGCAGCTGAATATTTTATCTTCATTAGAAGAATAAATGTCATTCCAGATTTTAAAACTTACCTTTTTGGCTTCTGGTGTAACCAGATAAAACAAATGTTTTTTTATTGTCTTCTTCTTTGTATTCTTGTAACACTTTTTTTTTCTTGGCTGATTAGGGCATTACTCGTAATAATTTAATATTTTAAATAACTATGCAAATAAGTAACTGCTTGGCTCCAAACAGCTCCACTACAGAAATGGCACAGTACCAAGGCCTGTTGAAGGATTGTTTTAGGGGATGGGGAATAGCCTTTCCCTCCTTATTGTTTTATGTAACAAAACAGTCAAGATAAAATGTATCATAAAATTCTCCATATTACGACGAGTTTCCACATTCATCAATTAAACTAATTAAAGACCATATTCCTCATTCCAGCCAGTCCCCTGTGAATAATAATGTTTGATTAAAAATTATTAACCTGATTTTATAACAGAAGTTCTCCAGTTTTCCTTCACAAAAAGTTGACAGTGTTAAAAAAAAATGCAGGTAAAAGATACATTAATAACTTGTAAAATGAGAGAAAAAACAGAATAGCTATTACAGATATTATAAATTAGTCATTTTATGTATCTGTTTATTGATTCGTTTAAATTAGTAATTTTATTTTTATAAACCGCCTGTTGAGTGACGTCATGTTCCTGCGACTGTTTTTGTGCAACATATTAGGATGGCTCTCTTTCCAGCTTTTGCAGAAGACGCAAGAAACAAAGTAGAAGATTCGTCCAAAGGTGAACATCTCCATGTGCAGCATAGATTTTAATATCAGTTACTGTTCACTTCAGTACTGTGTTTTCATTCGCTTTATAAACCAGTTTAACTACAAGCTAACTTATATTAGCTGTCCCAGGTTCTGCTTTTCGTTGAGACTGAATGACAGACTGCTTATGTTATATGTTCTTATCTATACGTTTAATTTTAATTCCGCTACACTGGTTTGGCTGAGCCGGAATACAATTTCTATTTGCTTGGCTCAAATATAATACTGACATTATGGAGGTATAGCAGACAAAGCAAAGATGGAGTTAGCAAACTTGCATATGAGGTTGTTAAGATGACTGTCCTGCATATTTGTACGGAAAGTGATCAAATATACTAAAAGAGGCCCGAGTTATATTCTCCAAAGTGCTTCTGCTAAAAGCCAAGACAATTTATCGACAGGTAACTGTAGCTCGCATAGTGGCAGCAGTTGTTAAATAGCTAAGTTTGAGCTCCGTACTTACATACTACTGTATGAAGGTATGTTATATAGTTACTGTCATGGTTCAGTAAAACCTAAGTAGACACCACTGTGGTTTCAAGAACACATCTTCCTGTCATCACTGTTACATCCATTAGCCCAATGTGTATGTGTACATGCATATTGGCATCCTGTTTTGATTCTTATTCTGGTTTTGATCATATAGAAATCCTGGTTATTCAGCTCCACATAGACACAGTTCTA